CTGTCAGAGTGCTAACGTGCTTCGAAGTTACAGCGCTGAATGACGTTTGTATGGTAACGGTAGGATTCTGACCCCCCCCCCCCCGTCCCCAATTCTGTCACATTACAAATAGTTATGAAGACGCCATTGTTTGTAAAACAAACTTGCATCATTCTAACTGTTTATATATTGTGTGTCACAGTGCATTCATGTACACAGTTGTTCTCATACAGGGTGCGAAATGTCAAACTTTCTACGAACTCCTGCGAATTTGGACCGAATTTCTGCGTAGTATCTATGTGGGTAGTATCTGGGGGGGGGGGGGGGGGGGCACCATGTCCTCTTCTTGGCTACGTCAGAGGCGCAAGGTCTGCTGGAACAAATCTCAAGTGCCTCAAATGTTTGGATGAATGTTGATGGATGATCGTAGGATCCCGTAGTGGTGCTGGTGCTAACGCGCCCTGCTTGATCACCATACAGTGTTCGACACAGAACATGCATTTTACATATTAGAGCACCAGATTCCTATGTTTATAAATGCTTGGTACATTCTAAAAGCCTGCATCAAGACCATAAGACTCAACAAACAGCATTCTGTTTTCTGCTTTGTACATATAAGGTGCATATTTGTACGTTTCAGTGACGTCGGATAGACCGGCGAGGCAGCCCGACGTTAATGGCAGCTGATCAGTCATAAAAGTCGGTCAGTTACGCACGTGCCCCTCATGGGGTGCTATAATGGGATGTCCTGGATGTAAGGGCACCCGCAATCTTTATTGCTAATGACGCTGGAGACACGCAATTTTCAGAGCACACAGCCTAGATGATACTCCTTTTATTGTCTGGTCACGGCAGTCAATGTGGTCAAACGAAACGAAACGAAGCTAAAAGGTCCAAAACAAGGTCAAACAAGCATGTAGGTCAAGCACCAATCAGTGTTGAACACGACCTCTATCAGCTGGATACGTTTCTGTGGGCTGTAAATTGTGGCTGGCCATTCTGATCAAGGGGTAAGTTTTGTCGAGGTTGTATGGAACAAATAGACTTAATGTGCATGTCAGTTATATATACCGATATTTTTGGATGATTTAGACAGATTTTTTTATGCGTAGTCTAGTGACCAAAAACAGAGAGGATTTTCTATGTCCCAGCTTAAGACGCCTCCTTTCCTTATTGATAGGGAATACAACGCACGTCCTTACACACCTTTTTACGGAAAGCCAGCGGCTGCAGAGGTCACATTAACGCTCAGGGGTCATGGTTTTACAGGGATTCACAACCCCCCCCCCCCCCCACCGTTGTAAGAGCCGCAGGTGCCAACAACTCGTCCAGTGCGATCTCTTTCATTTCATTGTTGTCATTAACATGAAAATTAAGATCTTCAGAGTTGTTGTGCACATCATGCGCCACAATCCACGACACTGCATCAACAAGTGAAGCAGAATGGGACGGTGAAACTTCATACTAGTCACAGCATTAGTCGTTCAAAAAGCTAATAAATGCCCATACTGATAACCATCGCGAGAAACATTCGGGGGTCTCTGAGTAAACACTCCACGCGCATGCACACATTCAAACTGGTCATCATTCGGATCGATTCTAAAGTATCATTTGCGAATAAAAGGGCAGAATCGAGGCGCATCCAAAAGCCGAGCAGGATACCAGTCTTGATGTGTTTAGGTCGAGTTTCGCAGCTATTACTACATCAAATAGGTCAGGTGTCGACAATTTAAAGGGAATGTTTCACGTTCGAAGCAAACGCATTAGATGCATCATGATATGTCGAAACAAACAAGCTTTTATCACTCTCTAACGTTATTAAATATTTCTGAAAACGATGCTGAAGTAGGCTATCAAATTTGGTAAGGCAGTGCTGAGTGCCTTAAAGGGAATGCACCACATTTGAAGATAGGGGAGTAAGCATCAGATATACTGAAATAAGTTCGCTAATAACTACTGTTATTTCTTAATTGTAACGGGCTGCTCTGGATTGTACCCCTTGACTCTATTTTTCTGTATAGTGAACATGTTCCTCAATACGTCATTGTCTGATTACGTCACCGTACGTTGCACAACAGTGATTGAAAGCCAATTCACAGCCGTAATTTCTGGATGGCTCGCTGGCTCTGGCTCACGAACGCCAGATTTCACCGTCTCGACAATTATAATCGATTGGCTTTGATTACCAAATGGACAATAGAGTGACATACTTTGAATGACGTTATCACACCGTCATGAATGTCTAGGTGACTTTGAAATACTCTCCCCGAAAAAAGTCGGCACAGCCCGACACACAGCACAGCAGAGCGCATAGCCCAGACACTGGACGGGTTTAAGTGTGAAGAGGGCCAGGGCTATGAACTGAACCAAATAATCGTCAAGATAGTTTAGTTCAAAACACCATGCAGATGTGGAGCACTCCTTTTTACTATTGATTTATGCTAACTTTTTGTTCAAATTTTTGCACGAAATTTGTGATTTTGTCGCAGATCTTTTCCTGGCGTGCGATGTCGGTCATGGGCAGAATTCCGTTTGACCCCTTAAGAGCAGTGCTAGGAATGCAAAAGTATGTACTTCTGCGATATTTCATTGGTTGTGACTGTGTATTGTGTTCCACTAATGTTTTAGCATCGACAAATAGGCAACGAAGACACTTATCTTGTATCGAAGTTTCTAAACTCGCAAACGCCCGCCAAGTCTAGCCCACGGCCCGGCATAAGACCAGCAGGTGAAGGCTGGTCCAGATGACAAGGGTTGGCAGGAAGGAAAGCTACGTCTGTAGAAGAAACCCTTCACTGCCGGCCAACTATTGGCCCCGGCTTACATTTATTAGTATCGGCTGAGACCCAGAAACGTTTCGCTAGTGCCGACACAACACAGAGCGGAGTTGCACTGACCAGTGTCAGAGATTTTCGTATCTAACCAAAAGACTCGGTAAGAGTAACGTTGTAGAGGGTTGTAGATATTCAGAGTCAAGATCACATTACTCCTGCCGAATCTTTTTGCTGGGACGAGAATCACTAACACTGATCAATGCGTTTTTTGTGTTGTCTCTGTGCAATGGCTTGCAATGCACCTCCTCAACGCAGACATGCGTCCTCCGGTACCGGTTACAAGCATCGACAGCGCAGGCCGCGCAGGCACCGCTCCGTTACCTCCCATGTTGATTCATTGTCGACTGCCGGTGCGGTGTACTAGAGGACTTCATGGTTTAGGTAAACCCATGGATGTCCACACGTGATGGGATTTTCCCGAACGGGTTTGGGTGCCCAACGGGTGCCCAACGGGTTTGGTTGGGCACATAATTCGGGAAAATTATGACTTTGGGCAAGGATATGGATAACCCGCTTTTCTCAATGGTGAGCGGATATTCAAGCGATATTAGACAACGTAGCATGACGATGCTTGCGTTTCTTGCAGTCACATTACGCTATATGATACTGATTCTGTGAATGTCAACGCGTAAGAGTTTGTTTGGGTGTAAACTTCATCGCGACTCTTCCATGATTTGGAATAAAATGCTGATAAAGGCAAATGGTTAGGTAACGAGTGGATACAACTGCCACATATGCGGTGAATGAAGTGGGTAAAGGAAATCTTGCCCCGAAAGGCCCTTGCACCGCATCGTGGTACTGATTCAGTGCTGGCTGTTAGTATTGTGGTATTGGTTCAGCGCCGGCTACTGGTATCGTGGTATTGATTCAGTGCCGGCTGCTGGTATCGTGGTATTGATTCAGTGCCGGCCGCTAGTATTGCGGTGTTGATTCAGCGCCGGCTGCTGGTATCGTGGTATTGATTCAACGCCGGCTGCTGGTATTGTGGTACTGACTCAACGCCGGCTGCTGGTATCGTAGTACTAATTCAGTGCCGGCTGCTAGTATCGTGGTATTGATTCAACGCCGGCTGCTGGCATCGTGACACTAAATTCCCACATATTTAGCTCAGATGTGAACGTGAAGGAGTCGTAGCTAGGGGAGGGTTGGTGGGCAGTAAACCAAGCTAGCGTATACTCGGAAACGTTAGTCCGCGCGTTCCTCGATTCGCACATTCCGTAGTTTGAGAGAAAAACTTCAAGCCTCCAACACGGACTCCAACATACAAGAAGCTGCATACTGAGTCCTATAGCCCAACTGGTTGATCAAGTGCTCGGAACCGGAAAGGTTGAACAACTTTAAAATTAAACAGCTTAACGTTGATTATGGTAAGCAGTAGCTAATTCTGCTAGGCAGTTGCTAGGCAGCTGATATCTTAAGCAGTAGCTGATTATTCCAGGCAGCACCAAGAGCGATAACTTAACGCCCAACAAGTAACTCACAGCCTTGTGCTTTGTGTGATTTCTAAGAAGTCCCTCAAACAGCCGACGCGTTCAGTGCAGTCCAGATGGTGACATCGTCGGCTAAGGTGACCAACCCGACACCCTAGCGGGGGAGGGGGGGGGGGGGGCAGGTCGCCTGACCACACCGGACGCCCCCGGCGGCTACACTCGGTGACCGGCCGCTTCGCGTTACATCCGGCCAAGGCGGCGGTGGCGGCGTGTCCGGCGCGGCGACGGCCAGTGCGGCGCGCCCGGCCGGCCGGCCTCCCCGCGCCGATGGAGGGCGGCGGCGGCGAGGGCGCGGCCGGACTGCCGGCGCGTCACCCGCTCTGCGCCCGCTGCCGCAACCACGGCCGCCGCAGCCTGCTCAAGGGCCACAAGCGACTGTGCCCGTTCGGCGAGTGCGAGTGCGCGCCGTGCGGTCTGATCGCGGCGCGGCGGCAGGTGATGGCCGCCCAGGTGGCGCTGCGGCGGCGGCAGGGGGCGCCGCGGCCGTCGCCGGCCGGCCGCGGCCGCCAGCCCCTCTGCGCCCGCTGCCGCAACCACGGTCGCTGCGAGCCGCTACGGGGGCACAAGCGGCTCTGCCCGCACGCCGGCTGCCGGTGCCCGCCCTGCCAGCTGATCGAGCAGCGACAGCGCGTGACCGCCGCCCAGGTGGCGCTGCGGCGCCGCCAGAGCACGCGGTCGCAGCAGGACTCCGGAGGAAGCTGGGGCCGCGCCCGGCCGTGGCCGGCGTCAGCGGCTTGCGCGCCACCTAGGGAGCACCAGTGCAGCCCACAGCTCCTGCCAACCGGTAAGGCGATTTCAGCCCAGTTATCCGTGACCGGCATTTTGAAATATGATTGCATTGAATATGAAATATGAAACACGTGTTAAGAGTGATTATAAAATACTCATGACGCTGCCAGGAACAAACGAGTTATATACAGGGCAAATCATATGCTATACTCGGTTGCCAGTACACTGGACGGCCGTGGGAACCAAACATTGCCAGTGTTGTACGCGAAGAGTAGCTCACGGTGCACGTATCCGTTCCTTACCGGGTTTATGGGATATATATGAGTATTCTGTATGGAATACATATATGAGATGCGCGTGGCTTCATGTTCACAGTTTAAGCAAAGTTCAGGCAGACCGGAAAAAATCAGAAAGTTGAGAACATTCGATGCTGTTCTACAAAACAAGAAACTGTACATGTTTCGCTGCACAAAGTTTATGTTTTAATGCATTTTTAGTAATGCACCCCTCCCCATTGTGAAATCATAGATATGGCCCTCGATATTACTGAATGTCAAGGCGCACGTGAGAGAAAATATACTATCCAATACATAACTACGTGTCCAGTTCGTTACTTTTGTTCGGTTCTTCAAAATATAGCTCAAAACCTTCACAGCCTGTGGAGGCGTTTTACACATAATGATCGTTCCATTATATTCTGCACATCTATATGCAGCACACTCCAGCTTAAATTGTAGCATTTAAACATCTTGGAATTTTGCTCTGCCTTCAGACTAGGACTTGATGGCCATTCGCTTTGACAATTTGGCTTAACCTCGTTTCGAAAAAGATTCTTATTTTCCCTATGGGTCACATCCTTGGGACAAGGCCAACTCTCTGACAAACGTCACACACCGCGACACCCGTTAGCACGTGGTCATTAGTTTTACATCACCTGTGTGAACAGACACGCAGACAGTTTGGCACACGCTTCTGTTCCTCTTGACGGCGACATGGCAGCTCAAACAGTATACTTATGTCTGGAGTACAACGAGAATACACCACGGCGTGCATAGTTGCAGTCAAGGGTGAAATTTCGCAAAATAAGTATGGGAGGGAGGGGGGGGGGGGAGGCGCTGAGCAGTAAACACTGATGCAACTTCTCCCCCAAAAATGCCCCAAAACGAGTTTCTTCCTGTAGCCTACTTTTTCTCAAAGTTGGTGGAAGAGGGTCGGATCCCTAGTTGGGGTGGGGAGGGATGGGGCAGGGCATGAAACCCCAACATAAATGGGAAAATACACCCCTACTTCATTTGATACGGCGGATCTAGTGACATGATTTCGTGCTCCGCAGCAAAGTGGTAGGTCGCCGGGCAGTGTGGACATTGACCGGGTCTCTTGGCACCAATGACGCAATTCACAGCTCAGTACAGAAAACGGAATAAACAGCCATCCAAAGCCACAGTCATGTAAAATTATGCTCACATCAGCCCAATCGTCTGTAAATCAAAGCATACCACCGAGCTGCGGGATGTCAAATAACAGGAAGCATGTACGCCAGAGGCGTCGGGGTGGCCTGCTGACCAGGTCAGCACGTGAGCCCAACCTGCAAGACGACACTGTCGCAACTGAGCTGAGCTGGTCTGTTTAACACCCCCGGCTGCCCGGCTCTGCAAACATTTCAGAGAGGAGCTGTTTGCAAACGTGAACGACGGATACACGCCAACTGCGACGATGACTAATCAGTTGCTTTCGCTATGATTTCCTTTTTTTGTTGTTGCTGTCCTTGGCAGGCTGTTTGTAATGCTTTGCACGTTTGTCAATGGTCCATGCTTTGCTCTCGTACTTGTAGGACAGTGCCGCGACCTGTTCTGTGATTTTGTGCCCCACTGGCACATAGTCTGCGGTGCTGCTAGAGAAAGCACGCATGACGTTAAGTAGCATCACGCAAGGCAATTCGCAGTTTCTATATATACCATCGTGGAGGGCACTTGTTGGACGCAGCCTTCCACTGCTTCGATATATCAGAACTATTACTATTGAGGCTGCATGCATATATGCAGAAGGATTGCAGAGACAGCACAAAACAGCACAAAGGTGATTAAGTCTGCCTCACAATATGCTATCGAAGTGCACTCTTTCACCTGCACCGGTTTTTCCTTACAGTGTGGTTAAAAACCAATCGCTTTCCATCATATTTTGTTGGCATTTGACGGGTTTTTAGAGGCAAAACAGAACGCTATCGGCCATGTTTCTGCAGCAGATATTCGTTGTATCTTGCAATGCAGCATGCAAACGATCTTCTAGGTGATAGGTGATTTTTAGAAACGATCCGACTATATCTTGGTTGCTCAGCTGTGCGGTGTTGACTCAACGGACATTAAACGTGTAGTATAGAAGTCCTGATTTAACCTACTGATATTAGACGGAAGCATTGCTAGGACCAGGCAAGTGCGGCAGTATTGTGCCTCGCATTGTTGCTGTCCATTCCCAGCATGCCGCGCTCGTAGACTGCTGAGAGAGTAAGATATTTAAAGGTCACGTGACCGATTCTCAGACCCGCCCCGTTCATATGCATGATTCATGTGCAGGCTCTCTGTTTCGCACAGCTGAACATGTACAGGGGCTCGTATGAGGTTGGCACGGGTCTGAGGAGCCGGGGAGCAATCGCATGGCGGGCATACACTCCGCTAGCCCGGCCTGTGTAGCGCACAAAGGTCACATTCGTGCGCATACGTACACCCATCGGCAATGCTACCAGGAGTGCTGACAAAATCCTTGGCATTTTATACATGCTGTGATGCATGCAATGGTCTTAGATGTACCGTTGCGTATATACACGTCGTGTATACACTGCGTACATATAGCGTGCAACTTTTGTGATTCAAATAATGACCGTAAACTTGTGTGAATTTGGTGTGTTTGGGGGCAACACGAACTCGCAAAACAACCCCAAAATCAGAACACGCTTGAGCTCTTCGAAAATACCCCCCCCCCCTCCCCACCCCTACCGGGCTCCCACCATAACACACTTCATGGAGTTAGGTCTGTTGTTTATATTGATGCGTTTCTGCAGCGTAGGCTCCCGTCGCTATCTTGTTTATTCCCTGAGCAGGTGCACATCATACAGCAGGGGCAATTCCAACCTCTTGTGCGGAGGTTGGGCGTTGTGGACGGCAGTTTCGCTGGCGTTTCCCGCTGTTTCAGGGCTGATGCCGCCTACGCCGCTGGCGGCACTTCTGCTACTGCAGCGCCTCTATCGACCGCCTGACATACTAGCAGTTCTCTTCTACGCCGCCCTGCGTGTCAACGGGCACTGCGTGTTCTCGGCGTACAGGATGATCATCCGAGGTAGGGGCAGGGACACGGGCGTGCATGATCATTAGAGGGAGGGGCAGGGACATGAGCATGCGTGATCATCCGAGGTAGGGTGAGGGGCACGAAGATGCATGATCATCCGAGTTTAGGACAGGTACACGAGCATGCAAGCTTTTTACAGTTTTTTTTTTATAGTCTGCTGCGTAAAGCACCAACGTGCTTTCGAGAACGTGCGTTTGCATTAGTTTCCACTTTCTCTATGTGCAGAGCTTATTGTCCGTTGTGGCGCAGGATTTGATGCTTGAGTTTCTGCCTCTTGCTGAAAACCACATCGAATCATTTGACGAGGTAACTAGTCACCCACGAGCTCTTAGAACGCGCTTAGAACGCACTATCCCTCTTAGAACGCGAGTAGCGACACCATAAACAATATATGACGACCTTAAAAGCTAAAATATTATCATTAGAAGACGAAACAGGTGTAGAGCTTACCAGTTCGCTACGCAAGCATGCCACCGAAAGGGCAACACAAAACATCCCATTGGTGCGTTCACTGAGGGGGTACATTGGATCACGTTCGCTGACGGCTGACCAAATACATGCATGTTCCCATACTTCACGGACAAACAAATAATATTTTATTACTAGGCGAAAAAACGCAACAGCGTCGGGCGGTAATAAAGCCAGTTTTCTGGATTCAACCCCTGCGTTGTACCACTGACAGTGTGCTCCACGCCGCCAGCTGAGCTGGAGCTGCGTCAGCTGATGGCCGGCCGGCCATGGCTAGAGAGGTGCGCCGACAAAGCCACCACGAACGGCTTCCGGCCAGGCTACGGCTGATGTCTGGCCACCGCAGCACGAAAGCGAGAGGATGGCCTACACGCACGTGGGAAGATGGCCTATACACACGTGGGTAGATGGCCTGCACGCACTCGGGTAGATGGCCTACACGCACGGGGGAAGATGGCCTGTGAGCACGTGGGTAGATGGTCTATGCGCTCATGAGAAGATGGCCTACACGCACATGGGAAGATAACCTACACGCATGTGAGGAGATGACCTACACGCAGACGGAAAGATGGCCTATACGCACGAGATGGCCTATACTCACATGGGGAGATGGCCTACACACATGTGGGTAGATGGCCTACACGCACGTGTTTAGATGGCATACAGAGATGGGCGCCGTGCAGAGCCGATCGAGCTGAGCGATGGCTGCTCACAGAGGTCGCTTGAGGTGGGACAAACTTCCGTGAAGCACCCCAGGCACAGCTAATAGCACCTTTATGTCAACGGCACTTGTAACAGTGCCACATGAAACGGCCTTAGCCCCCGCTGTTGTGAGCTGTCACTGGGTGCTTATGATGACATGGAGCTGCTTTCGTCCTTATCTTAGTTCTGTTGAGACATGTACCACATCTGAATAGAAACGCTGAAATGTTGCTGATTTTTGCGATCGACCTTTACGCCAAAGTGACGGAAGGCACGCGTGCAACCGCAAACAACATCCATTTCCAAGTCGTTCACAAATCCGGCATTGACACCAGAGTCCCAAATATGTAAAAGTGAGTCTTGCGCAGTTCAATACTATTTCACCCATTTAAAAAATGACCTGTAAAGTGAAGATGGCAAAGCGCGTTGCTGGATTTGTTGTAGGAATTAAGCAACAGATACGTTACCTCTCACTCACAATAACGACACGAGTGTGCCAGAACTTACATAAATATGTTTCGTGAGCGTCCTTTCTGAAGAAGACTTCTACTTTTTTAGCGCTGCCAGCATCTTTCCAGAAGCAAACGATAATTTGTGTACGCTCTCGACTGTGACGTTCGCGAAATATCCTTAATAGGTTTTCACACTTCTTTAGTTATTTTGAGCATTAGATTACCAACACATTTTCTGAAGTCGGTGCTGAATAGGGCTAGTTTAGTAATTGTTGGAAGTGAGCGGCTGAGACTTCCGCCGAGATGTGCTGTACATGCACAATTTTATGTTGCCGATCACTCGAGCTCTGCGATATCAGGATCGACCGTCAGAAACTCGGCTGTTCGGCTTGGTGTTTAGAAATCCGCATCGACAACGCGTAAAACAATACGATAGCGCCTAGGATACGGGCACATGTCTGTGACCGCTGCGAACACAGAACAGTGGCATAGCCACACGAGTACTGAGTACTGGGCAGCCATCTGTACAGTGTTCAGTTCTCTCGTGCATGCCATTGCCGGACGACTTTGAAACACACTGTTCCAGTGGTGGCCATAACCGCGCATTACAAGCGGCTGTGGCCACGACCGTCCAGCTTCGGTCGGCTGGAGAGAGGGGAGCGTCCCGCGCCACAGCTGACGTCACCAGCAGCGGTCAATCGCGCGTGCCCTACATGATGAGCCAGGCGGTGGTCGGTGCCACCAGCTTTGTCAGCGGGGAGAGCACCGCTCGAGGCCGCTGGCCGGCGGCGGCGCGCGGAGCACCGCCGACTGGAGCACGCCGGCCGGCGTCAGCGGCGCGGATGGGCGCCGGAGGACGGCCGCGGGGAGGGGATGGGCGCCGGAGGACGGCCGCGGGGAGAGGATGGGCGCCGGAGGACGGCCGTGGAGAGAGGATGGGCGCCGGAGGACGGCCGCGGGGAGAGGATGGGCGCCGGAGGACGGCCGTGGGGAGAGGATGGGCGCCGGAGGACGGCCGTGGGGAGAGGATGGGCGCCGGAGGACGGCCGCGGGGAGAGGATGGGCGCCGCAGAGCGGCCGCGGGGAGAGGATGGGCGCCGGAGGACGGCCGAGGGGAGAGGATGGACGCCGGAGAGCGGCCGCGGGGAGAGGATGGGCGCCGGAGGACGGCCGGGGGAGAGGATGGGCGCCGGAGGACGGCAGTGGGGAGAGGATGGGCACCGGAGGACGGCCGCGGGGAGGGGATGGGCGCCGGAGAGCGGCCGCGGGGAGAGGCTGGGCGCCAGGGGACGGCCACGGGGAGAGGATGGGCGCCGGAGGACGGCCGCGGGGAGAGGATGGGCACCGGAGGACGGCCGCGGGGAGAGGATGGGCGCTGGAGGACGGCCGCGGGGAGAGGATGGGTGCCTGAGGACGGCCGCGGGGAGAGGATGGGCGCCGGAGAGCGGCCGCGGGGAGAGGATGGGCGCCGGAGAGCGGCCGCGGGGAGAGCATGGGCGCCGGAGAGCGGCCGCGGGGAGAGGATGGGCGCCGGAGAGCGGCCTCAGCGAGAGCCCTCGCCCGAGAGCGGCGTTTAGGGGCTGGGCGGTGGGCCGGCGGGGCCGCCCTGACCGACCTCGCAGAGGCCCGGTGACCTCACAGAGGCGCGGTGGCGCATCCGGAGAGGTCACACCCAGACGATTCCCGTGTAGATGTCTCACGGTCAGCGCGAGGGAGGGCGGGCGCTGGTGGTCTCTTGAGAGGATGGCGAATCGCATGGTGTACGTGTTCGGGAAAAATATATCCAGGCATATCAGGGAGATGATGTGTGTGATCGCTCAAGCGTTGGTGACGTCATACATTGGAAGCCGGAGCGGATAGAGGTGGGAATCAGCTGTACGACGCTGGAAGCACCTCGCCCTGCAGGCGGCGTAACACGCGTTCGCCACTTGCGTCGTTCCATGCTTCTTCGCGGTTCTCAGCTGTTATCACGCGTCACCATCATCGCCACCCTCATCGTTACGCACTGTGCACTGTCTCTCCTGTTCCCGTAGGGTTACGCCAGTTCGTTCCAGTCGCGGCTAACCCATCTGATCTTGATCTGCCCCACCACTGTTTGCTGTAATAAAATGCAGGAACTAGTGAATACCTGCCAGTCTTAACGAATTTGAATGGACGGGCCAGTTTGATCAAATTTGGCGGTTTTCGTGCAAGATACGGCCGTTTGGTAAGTCAGTCGCATTATGCGTTGCAATAATGACGGTGTATGTAGTGCACAATACAAACCTGATGTTGTTTTGGTCCCATTAATTTCTATATATATATATATATATATGTACATAAATGATAGTTCTAGCTATTATTACCATATATATGGCTGTTACTCATAATTCAACATAGTAGGCACAACAGCATTTTCAATAATCCATACAATAGTAATTGATCTGCTTGCATATTTGACGCAGAAATGACAATAATGGTTAATCTACCCTAACGTTTCCAGACAATGTTGTCAGCAGGGTAAGGAGTCAGGCTTAGCGAAGGCCGAGGCCATTGAGCGGGGATCGACGTAGGAAGGGGTAAGCCGTGGACACGAGTATATGGTGCATGGTGCGTGCGGTTGGATTTATTTTTACTGTAGGTGTGAGTCCAGAGGCCAAACTGCCAAGATGCACGTAATCCCGAGCACGCCCGGTGCAGCAGCTACATTGTGGCAACAATTTGGTCCCTTACACAAGTCAGGGCATACAGAGTTCGGTGCTCGGTTGCCACTAATTTCAGGCCATAGATAGGCGATGTTGTAAGGAATTTGGCCTGGCACACATCTAGCGTAATTGTGGGTCAGGTTTGGCATGTGAGCTACATGCCAATGCATCAGTCAGCACACCGATGAGGTATGGACGTACAGCTCAGTGGACGGATTTGTTGGCAGGCTGGCATGTAGTTAAATTGCTTTGAAGTTCTGAGGACAAAAAAATTGCATTTGTCTAAATGCATCCCTTTTGCATTCATTTCATGTGATACACAGTTACCTCACATGAGACAACTGGCAATTTTGATTTTGCTATTTCCACATTCATCCATTGGGTCATGGCATACATTGCTACCTTGTGTTAAAAAAGAGCATTGTACGTCAAGAGCTTCATCACAGTCAAAAGACTTGAACATGTTGATGATTATCTAGTATAGTATAAGGATGTATGATGGGTAGAGCAGATAGGTGGAGTAGTACACTCAGGTTTGACCAGATTTTCATAGACTGAGAACAAAACCACAAAGCACACAGCACATTTTCTGTGTGGTTCTGGCGATGCTGACGTTGCTCTGTTTCCTTGGTTCCAAAGAGGTGGAGGGCAAGCTTTGTTCATATAATTCTGTGCAGATAAGCTTTTATTGATTTTATGTTGTGCTTTCCACCTTGATAATATGCAGTCAGTGGCCTAAAACTCAGAATGTGCTGCAATTGTACAGTGATGTTACTAAATCTGTCAATTGTCTTATTATCTAGTTAAAGATATGCATGCCTCCCTTCTGTCAGAAAACAATTTCATATGCAATGCATTCTTAAGCATGCATAATGTGAGTCATAGTACAGAAAGCATGACAATGGAATCCGACTGTAAAAGAAGGTTTATCATACTTTAAAGTTTGCAAATTTATGCTCTGACACAAGTTTCATTGTTCAGTAAATACTGATATTAAGGGCAGAGTAGAGCGTGGGATATTAATTTGTGTCGGACACCAAAATGTCGGGTAGAGTATTCTTCAGTTGGTAATGTGACTATGGTTATGATCTGAAAAATATCAGCGATAAATATGATTTAAGCATCATTGCACACACAGGTAGGGTGCTTATATTGTATATACTAGCAGTGTCCCTCCCATATTTTTGCAATGTGCATATTATCCTTAAACCACATATTTAGCCGTTTTGTCAACCAACTAATGATTAATGTCAAGTAATGGTCAACTGATGTTTTGCTATTAACTGACATTGATATCTCTGTACTTCCATGTACTTAGTGGTCATTGCATCAGTGTTTTAGTGTGTTTGGAATTGTGCACATAATGGTTACATCATATTCATATCATTAGTCACATCATGATTAGGCCATTTTGGAAGTACTACTTTATAACCTGTGTTCTGTAATTATTGCCTTTTGGCAATGTTATTTGCTTTAGAAAAAGATGTGGGCATGAACAGCTTTGTTTAACAAGAAGGTGGGCATGGACACCCCAGCCTGATCATGCACATTTTGATTGTGATGAATCATGTTTAAGTGTGCAATCTGAGGCACCTTCCATTGAGCATATAACAATTTGTTCCTCATTTTCTACACAAATGCATAGTGTCATCTGTTGATAGTGGGTAGATATTTTGCACATGGGGTTTGAACAAAAACAGCATGCAATTTGCACAAGTTGATCTGGGCCATATACAAATGACAGTGATTCCATGCAGTTTTCAGGATGGAACCCCTGGAAAAGCTGGATGAAGATTTTGATTTGGACAGTGATCAGGATTGTGACCTGAGGCCAATTGATAGTGATGACAGGTATGCTGGCCTTCTGTATCTGTTTTCTATCCAGTACATGTTTCACATCTTCCAAACAGCACAGGCAAAACTTCCAATGTGTGTAATAGTTTTTGCATGTTGTGTTTGCTTTGTAGTTCTGTTATATTAAGTTATTTTTGGTTTGTATTTACATTCCGTTATTGCATCCTGTAAGTCATAAGCTCATCCCAAATGTCTGCTCATTTTCAGCAGTAGGTTATGGTTAATATTTTGCTTATTCTTAGCCTGTAACTGCACTATGTATTTTGAAGCACACAAGTGTTGAACAGGCCTAGCAAAATGCATTGCACAGATTGCATTATTTTGTACTGCTCACAATTTCTGCACTTGTCACAGCCTTTATGGTTTCATCTTTTGGTATGATTATGCAGGTAGAAATACATGGTAGATGTAGTTAATTTACATACCACACTGATGATGACTTAACAGTGACAAGGAAGTGCTCGCAAGATTTGTGGCCAGTTTTTGAACAACAGAAGCGTGACCATGATTATGTTTGTAGTGATGACGAATTCTCGCCGGATCTTATTGAACGCCTCCGGAGATTTGGAACACAACTTCCGCCGAAGAAACGCAAGCGTGAAAAGAAAGGTCAGTGGTTGTTCCTGATAGTCCCTAGTCGCTTTGCCTCCTATCAGGCATTGTGCACTTTTTCACTTCGAGCTTTTCCATTCATGCCGGAAGACGTCCTCCTACGATACGTTTCATGCAGTTACAACATTAGATAAGTGATGAATGCAGTCAGTGCTGTGACTTTATTCCAAAGGCTTCTCACTATGTCTGTTTTGCTGTTATCCTTGCGAACCCACTACGCGGGCTGTTGTCTACGATCCGCTGTGGGGCTGTCGTTTATGACACGCTGTGGGCTGTCGTCTATGACACGCTGTGGGGCTGTCATTTATGACGCGCTATGGGGCTGTTGTCTATGACGCGCTGTAGGGGCCGTCATCTGTGACACACTGGGGCTGTCGTCTATAACACGCTGTGAGGCTGTCGTCTATAACACGCTGTAGGGCTCTTGTCTATGAGACGCTGTGGGGCTGTCGTCTATGACACGCTGTGGGGCTGTCGTCTGTGATACGCTGTGGGGCTGCCGTCTGTGACACGCTGTGGGGCTGTCGTCTATGACACGCTGTGGGGCTGTCGTCTATGACACGTTGTGGGGCTGTCATGCTGTGGGGCTGGTCGCCTATGACGCGCTGTGGGGCTGTCGTCTATGACACGGTTGTGGAGCTGTCGTTTGTGACACGCTGTGGGGCTGTCGTCTGTGACACGGTTTGGGGCTTTCGTCTGTGACACGCTGTGGGGCTGTCGTCTGTGGCACGCTGTCGGGTTTGAGGCTGTCGTCTGTGACACGGCTGTGGGGTTGGGGGCCGTCGTCTGTTGACACGCTGTTGGGCTCCCGCTACTCCAGGCCTGCTATGTCACCGCACTATAAGCGCCACCTCCGCCCGGTGCCCCCCGACAGAGGCTGAGGATGACTTGAGAGGGAGGTAAACGCCGAGCTGGCCGTCTCGCTGCGGCTCACTGCCGCGGATAGCGGGCGGGGCGTCCGGCCGCGCTGGGCCGTGCCCGCGCACACCGCCTCCCCGGCCCGCGCCGCCTCCTCGGCCGCGCCGCCGTCCGGCAAGCCGGCGGCAGCAGCCGCCGCCCCACCAGGCGCTGGCGAGAACAGCTGTACTAACGACGACGTGTAGCTCTTCGACTCGGACGACGACTCAGCGGCCCGAGGACGGCCCGGCCGCCGCCGACTCATGTCGCTCCGGCTGGCGCTCCCGCCGACTCTGCGACTCCTGCCTCCCAGGTTTCTGTGCGGCTCTC